CTGAAATTTCATATCTAAGTTCAACTTTGCACTTCGTTGTACCTAGCTCATTGTATTTAGACATGACATCTTATTTGCTCTTGATCTTGGTAAAGATGCAGCATCGCGCCTAAACGCAACTACTGAATTGGTATTAAAGACTTGCCCTGAAGGTACTACGAATTTAGGAAAATCAAATCCCAACGCATCTTGAGCGGATCCAACCCCCCTAATCCACGGAATGATGCTTGCCTTGTTTGTTATGTTGACGCATGTTACTTATCAAACCCGCACAAGGCAAAATCCTTGAATGGTTATGTCTTTACCATTAGGGATATCACAATATCTTGGAGGTTCATGATATGACCTTAGTTGCAAAATCTTCGAATCGTTCCAGGACTCACCTTATTTCACTACGCCACAAGTGAGACATGGTTAAGAGTTATTGTTGAGCATATTCGAAGTACTTGCTGTTTTCATCCATCGTTGAGTCCCAATGACGATCCATGAAAATTATGCCGCATGTATCAACCTAACCAAGCCTTGATACATCAACGAAGTTAACGCCAAGACATATTGCATCTACATCTACATCAGCAAAGCATCAGGAGATTGAAGTCATGCAAGCCGATCCCAGACAACCTTGCTGACCTCTACATGACGTCACTGCCGAAGTCAACCTTCCAGAAGTTTGTCTAAGGAATTGGTATGCCTAGCTATTCATATGTGATGCTTGTAGTTCTCATTTAGAAGTTTTGTCAAACTCAAAGGGAGTATCCAGAAGTATACTAACTTGATCTTAATGTACTTTTTTTCCTACGATTAGGAGCATTTTTCCCACTGGGTTTTTGCTACCTAACTACGTTTTAATGAGACACCCATCCTGGGCTGATCATACCCTTATGAGCTCTTCTACTTACGTCCAAAAGGAGTATAAGTTTGACTTAATGCAATTTCTCATTTTTCTCCTTAGTCTATGGGTTTCTCTCCTACCTTGGGTTTTACCATAGTGAGATTTGGTGAGTTTTACTTTTTATGCATTCTTTCATTGATTTGAGACTCGCATTCGCTTATTGTGCCGACGACTTCATCGCTGAAGACCTAATGCACCATTTACTTGAGTATTTACACACTCAAGAAGGAGTGTTGCAGTCCTATTAGAATAGTAATGTGATTATGTAAATCCTAGTATATCTAGAAATATCTTTTATGTTCCTATTAGGAGTTGATTACCTATTAAGAGTTGTAATCCTAGAAAGGTAAGGATTTTACCTATCCTACTACTATAAATAAAGGCACAATGGGGGTGGAATAACACACTTCATAATTACACATCTCTCTCATTCTTTGACCAAACATGTATTTTGAACACAAACATACATATAAGTAATTTTAAAACAATAATTAATAATTCAAAGTATGCATGCATAATAACTGTCTATATGTATATGTTAAAAAAAAACGACATTTTCATTCTAGTATCATGAGAATTACTTACTCATATCATTAAAATCAATGTTAATATAAATACCTTATATTCACGAGTTCTCCAATTCCATGTCGCCTGAAAAAAAAAAAAAGAACCTTTGCAAACACACTCGAATATATATATATATATATATATATGTATAAAAGAAATTAAATCCTGCCCAAATTAGGTACTCCAACAAGTCAAAAAAACCAAATAGATTTTTAAAAGAAAAATTCCTAATCAAACCAGAATTTGGACGGTACAAAAAACACCCATTTGACCGACCAAATGAGTAAGGATTCAGTCTAAAAAAGACTTCTTTTTTAAAAAACTTATTATTATTATTATTATTATTATTATTATTATTATTATTTGATAAAGTTTACCGCGTTCTGTTCAACTTCATGGAAGAAACTTTATTTTTTGAAAACGAGACATCTTGACTGACTAAACGCCTAATTTACATATCCACAACCAAAATATTATCTCAAATAACAAATAAGTTTTAAGCAATTAGCAAAACTATAAATTAATATCGACCCATCATCAATCACTTTAGATTTTGTAAGTTTCAAATTAGGGATGGAAACGGGGCAAATCGTGTTTGGAGTGCCATCCCAATACTAGACCCTTTTATTTTCTCCGAACTTGAAACTGTAGAATCTCCAAATCGGTTGGAGCAAATTGGGGTAAATTTAGAATCTAAAACTTGAGTTTTACTCCAATGGTTGGAGTAGGTCTAATGAAGTGCTTGAGTTTATATAAAACTCAAGGAACCCTTTGATAAATTATGTGTCTATTGGTCTTAAACCATCTAACACGTTTTAGCAAGGGATGGCACCAATTAAATATAAATGATATGTGTTTGTTTGGATGTGCTTTGAAATGACTGAAAGTGTTTTTGGTGAAAATGTCTTTGGAACCAATCCTTAGTAAAAATGCAAGTAAATTCTGGAAAAGCACTTAAAGTGTTTCCTCGAAGAAGCACATAACTGATGTTTCTTGAAGAAAACACTTAAAGTGTTTTTGGAACCAAAAAACATTTTCTCTAAAAACGTTTTTAGCCATTTTAAAAGTACATCCAAACGAGAGCGATTAACATTATTTTTCATTTAATTATTAAAATTATATATTTCAATATTTATACTGACAATTTCTCACATGAATGAAAAATTAAAAGATTTTGAGAGTACAAGCAGACAAGAAATGCATTGGGGGAGAGGTGCCATTTGGACTTGAACCTACCCTAGTGATTACTTATTGAATTTCCTTGGCGACGCAATGGATGTGAAAAATCTTGAACTGCTCACCGTAGCAGTAAACCAAAACAATAAGCAATACAAATCACTAATCCTAATATATAACGGTTCATACAGTTGTGTTCATTTTAATCATGAACAAATCTCATATTCATGAGAGCTTCAGAGAATTTATAATTTAGTCATCTCATACTCATAGAAGTGACCCACTTCTACTCTCGCATAGATGACCACTGATTAAGAGCAATTTGCTTTATTCCTCTTATTTTTAAGGTACCAGTGTCATTAAGTATAAATATACACCCATAACTTTTGTAGAACAACACACTTTTCCCACCACAAGAATGAGGTATATAGTATGTTAACTTCTTTAAAACATGCCAACCAGTTTGCCTACTAAACTTAGACCATGAGATCTCCAATCAACTAAGTTAGGTTTTCGCTCAACTGATTCATTAGTTATGTTGGCTTTAGCTCATTCTCCTCGATGATCAACTTACTCTCTAGTCAAATCCTTATAATTGTTACGGCTTAGGTTGACTATTCCATCATGCATGAAACAAATTTCAATGGAGAGTTGTTGTTTTACAATGTCAAGTCCTCTAAACATATGTTAGGACTTACACAATAATTTGCTAAGAAGTAGACTTGCCACATTTAAGGTGTTTAAAGAAAGATCTCTAAAGCTTTCCATACCTTAAAATTACATATTGTCATGTTTAGGTAGCAAATACTTCTTGTTAAGTAAATACCATTATATCTTAATGACATTTAAGTCGCCCTCACAATTCTCTCATAATTGTGATTGCTGAAATGCATGAGATTAGTATAAACATATGAAGCTATTCTATCTTCTTAGTCCTTAAAGCCTCACTAGTCTTTTAAGGGGAGTATTTTTGCTCACCACCATTTAGTGTGGTGTATACTCACCATCCTATTTATTACAGTTGAATGAGTTTGGCTTTCGAGATTCGTGTAGTGGATTAGCACAAATCTCAAAATTCAAACATATCTAACGGTGATAAATAGGATGGTGAGTATACACCACACTAAATGGTGGTAAGCAAAAATGCACGCATCTTCTAAGATAAGCACAAAATCTTTCTTCCCATGAGCAACCATGATATAACAAACTCATTGTTTGCCATGACAAATTTTGAATGCACGTCTTTAGGCCGGCATGCAAGTGTATGTACACTTTCTATGACATTGTCTCTTATTTTGCAAGATAATTTGAAGACTTAATCTTCCAGTACCTCAAATAAGGAACTGCTTGAAGACTTAAATCTTCCAAATTTTGCAAACATGTATGTGTCTAACCGTTTGGTAGTTCTCTAAATCCATCGAACATAAAACTGATTCGCCATTTCTCATCTGTTTGACACAAGTTCTTGGCCCTATATATATCAATTGGATGATGCATCGAATTCAAATGAAGTTCCTTCCTTAAAGAGGAACTTATCCCACGGATTGATACTAATCTGCACTATAAAAAACAAATGAATCCATGAGTCGCTTTATACATACCAATTGTTCTAGCTTTTCTCATTGAATGGGTTTTCAGTAGCATACTAGCTGCAATTGAACCTTGTCACTTGTCATTACTTTGGAAAACTTGGCCGAGTATCAAACATAGTCAACTGATGAAGTTGTTTTTGTGAAATAAGGTTGCTTGCGATATTGCTCATAATCCCAGTGGAATATGATAGAACTTAGCATGTAGAGGTTGATAAGTTCTTTATTAAAGAAAAGCTAGAAGGTAAAATTATTGAAATGCCTCCAATTAGAACGGAAAATCAAATAGCTGACATTCTCACCAAAGCAATTTCTAGTTAAAAGTTCTCTAAGTTTCTAGACAAGTTGGGCATGTGTAACATATATGCACCACCTTGTGGGGGGAGTGCTGACTTGGATAGTTTCCTATAATTTAGGATTTCTTAGTTTAGGATGGATCCCGTGTAATTTGGGTGAAATCTCTTTGTAATCTCATGTAATTATTCTTACCTATTTGGTTAGGATTAAGATTGTATATTATGCCTCTTTCTGAGAAGAATAATCATATCATTCAAAGCATTCTCGTTTATCATATGGGTATTCGTATTTAATACACTATTGTCTTCTTGATTTGATTTACTTTCCTTATGCTTCTATATTGTTATTAATATATACAAGGTGTTTGATCTGAAAATTATACAATGTTGTATATTCCATATAGAATAAGCATGTTCAAGAGATTAATATTAAGTAAGCTTAGTTCAGACACCTATTTGTAAAAAATGTCTGTGGACACACTTGCACTAGTAGTGGTTTATACATTTGGTATTCCTTTTGTTATTGCTTAATGAATATGTACGTATATGGATTTTATGAAGCAAACTGAGGAGATTTATATTCATGAAGGAAACATAAGATTACAAACGGGAAGAACCTGAAACAATTTACTTTTCTGTTTGTAGCAATCTCTGACACCTCTCCTATTCGGATATTGCACCTTGCGCTAGTCGAGGGACTGGAGTCGGCCACCATGGGAGCACAAACGGGAAGAATCTGAAGCAATTAAATTTTCTGTTTCCTACCGTCTTTGACACCTCTCCTGTTAGAATGTTGCACCTGATAATATCTTTTTTCCCAGGTTATCTACAATCATATACAAGGTATCCTCGTCATTTGGGTCGAAAAATACCGCATCAATATCTGTCCATGGACCTATCACAACCTTTTTCTCATCCACCAAATTGACCCTCTTCTTAAGTTTCACAAACAAACTTTTTGCTCCTCCATGGATCGTCACTCTCTGATCATCTTGTTCTTCTTCATTCACCTCGCAAATAGACAGATTGCGGGAATAAAGGTCATAGTCGCACATCAGCACACCCCCATCATACGCTGCTATGCACCTCACTGGAACAAAGTCCCACTCATGACTAAAACAACGTCTATAACAGGTTGTAGTAGATAAACTAGCAATAGCACTCTTCTCAGATCATGAACGGATCCAACCGAATAAGAATGTCTCCTCACTCGTCCAATACAGGCTATACTGGGACTCATTTTTTTCAAATTAAAGTTGAACGCAGATATCACAGTTGTCTCCCTCCATTCACCAGTCTCAGAAGAGAAGATCTGTACTTTGAATTTGCGGGAATATTCTATGTCGTAGTCGTCATCACCATCATCAGGATCCATTAATCTCACAACTCTGCACCTATACTCCGCATTAAGCTGGATCATATCTCCTGGCTGATAATCTTCCTTGTTGTTATAGTAGGGAAGATCACAGATGAATCCCACTAGTACAAATGCGCACACTTGTGGTGGGGGAAGAAGAGGAACCCACTGGATTGTGTATGGATTGCAGATGTAGTAATCCCGCTGGTTAAACTTGCTTGCGCAGCACAGAACTAAGTCATTATACGTACCTACCACAACTGGCTCTTGTTTCAAACTGTGGAAACTCACCAGTCTTTGGAAAAGTTGATTCAACGGTTTAGAGGACGGGGACATTCTTTTAAGGAATTCCTCCCCTTCTGAATTTATTGCAGTAGTTATTGGCTTTTGCTTACGATCCCTTTGGAGGTATAGAAAACAGCCAATAAAATGAGGATCTGAAATGAGAGTGCACCAACGCTTGGAAACGCACTTGCATTGTGAAACGGACTTATAGGAAGGAAGTCGACAAAAGATTTCAGCCAATAAAGAGTCCGGTAAATCATCGATATTGCTGTTCATCAATTTTGATGATGGCCAACTTGATGTTGTTGCTGATGATCTTTACTCTTATCGAGTGACAGATATCAACCGAGGGCGGTACTGCTCCTGAGGGGATTGCTGACTTATTCTGCTGCGGGCATCTTCGTAGCAATCGTACGTACTATTAGGACCTCTCATGGCAAGATAGATACACATCAAGCTTGGTTTCCAATCTATACTACTCAGAAGGATTGTACTGCACCTAACGAAGCAAAATTTTGCAATTCACGGTCTTGCTTCCAGAATTTCGTCTGTGGATTTGCACCACCAACTGCACGAATCTGCAACAATGTAATAAGCAAAGGAAAAACGAACACCAACAACATAAACACAACAAATCTGGAAGACAGAAACAAAAAAGCAAAGCCAAAAAGAACTGAACTGGCAACATTAAACCAAAACCTACTGTTAGTGCACCAGAAACCACAGGTACTACAAGTCCAATTCAATCCAAATTTTGCGACCTTTGAGATACACGTGCAAACAAAGCATCCTCGATCGGTACCACCGGTTTCGTCAGCTTCGAATCATCTTCGACTCGGAAACGAAAAGGGGCGACAAGGATTGCAGATATGAAGAATTTGGTTGCACAAAGATGTGAAAGACGGATGAGAGAGAAAGCGATGGGTCTGCGAAATATGGGTTTCACTTAACCCGTTTGTACGCGTAACAATTTTACCTCAATCTAAAATCTCAAACCGTCCATGTTTGATCCAACGGCGAAGAAACACAGCGCATTAGGCCTAGCCCAAGAATCACCCGCCGCACAGAAAATGAAAAAGTGAAAATTGAGCGAGAGAGAGAAAAGTGAGGGGAACCCCCGAACAGAACCCAACAATTGCAAATAAAAAAGTTGCCGACTTTCTTCGATTTTTCGATTCGATACGCCGAAGGAAATGTTGGGTTGAATCAAATGACTGAGGCAATCGCTTTCGTTTTGATTTGATTTGGAAAATTTCAGAAGCTTCGAGATGGGTTTGGAAGATGGGAACTCAGAGAACGCGCGGAGCTGGGCGAGGTTTGTAGCCACGTGTCTCGTCGGTGGGGTGGTGGTGGCGGTGGGGGTCGGCGTCGGGGTTTCTCTTCTGGGCTCAGAAGGCGGACCTCAGCTTCCTTTGGGACTTCCATGGCGGAGGAAGAAGAACAGACCCGTCCGGGTTTACATGGACGGCTGCTTCGACATGATGCACTACGGCCACTGCAACGCCCTCCGTCAGGCGCGTGCGCTCGGCGACCAATTGGTGGTCGGAGTCGTCAGTGACGCCGAAATCATCGTCAATAAAGGCCCCCCTGTGACTCCTCTCAACGAAAGGTACCAACTTTTTGTGTTAATCAGCTGATTAGCTTCATAATTTTTGGTTATGTGAATGTGTGGTTTAGCTAATTACCTTGTTAATTAGGATGATTATGGTTAATGCTGTGAAATGGGTTGACGAGGTGATTCCTGATGCACCTTATGCTATAACCGAAGAGTTCATGAAGAAGCTGTTTGATGAATACAATATAGACTATATCATTCATGGGGATGACCCATGTGTGCTTCCTGATGGGACTGATGCTTATGCTCTTGCGAAGAAGGCCGGCCGCTACAAGCAGATCAAACGGACAGAAGGCGTCTCCAGCACCGACATTGTTGGTTAGTTCCATTTCTAGGAGAGGAGCTGATTAACTACTGATGTTCTGTATAGAGTTACGATTGTTTAGTTCTCTTATTGCGGCGGTTTGAATTTGTTAGTGTAATTTTAGTATTTGATAATTCCGTGTATAGGGCGTATGCTTCTCTGTGTAAGGGAGAGATCTGTTAATGAGAAGCAGCATCACTCTTCCTTGCAAAGACAATTCAGCCACGGTCACAGTCAGAAGTTCGAAGATGGTGGATCTGGAAGTGGAACCCGTGTGTCTCATTTCCTACCGACATCTCGGCGAATTGTTCAGTTTTCAAACGGAAAGGTAATTTTGTCTCCATAGCTGTTTCCCTACTGGTTATTTGAAAGAGAGCAATTTTTTTCTTCAATCCCTCACCTAGATTCGGAAGTTTGTCTCCTTATAAACAAGGGATATGAAAAAGGAAAGACAATTCATGATTTCTGTATCACATATACTTATTTTTACTACACTCTTGCTGGCCTTGAATTACTACGCTTTGTCACTTTTTAATGAATGCTTTATGCTTGAATGCAGGGGCCTCAGTCTGACGCACGCATAGTTTATATAGATGGTGCATTTGATCTTTTCCATGCTGGACATGTGGAGGTAATGTGGATGAGTTTACTCACATGATATTTATCTTTTACTGGCTTACAGTACTATTGCAAACACAAATACAAACACGAACACACAAAAAAACAACACAGACACACCTACACATCTGCACTGTTTTTCTTAGATGGGGGATTGTTTTTTGTTCATTCTACTATTATGGTCTTCTTGTCTGTTTCTCTTGTTTTCCAAAATTTGCTTTAGATTTGATAAGCTGGTAAGGGAGAAAAAACTTACTTTTTGGTTACATGGCCATCCTTTTCATATAGATCTTAAGGAAAGCACGAGAGCTTGGGGATTTTCTTCTTGTTGGAATACACACTGATCAGACTGTCAGGTACCATCTCCATCTTACTCACTCTCACATGTTAATTTCTACAACCAATAACCCCTTAATCCTTGAATCTACTTTAGAACCATATAGAGTTTGACAATGATAAAAATCAAATCCAATAGTAAAGATGTCAAAAAATCAAGTCCAATAGTAAAGATGCAATTGTAGCAGAACATCCTGCACACGCACGTGTGTGTATATTATCTCTTCACATGAAAAGCAAATGACTCCAAAAGTCACTTTATACCAAGTGTTTTAGGTTTTCTCATTGAATGGGTTTTCAGTAAGCATACTACTTTGAATAGAACCTTGTCGCTTGTCACTACTTTGGAAAACTTGGCTGAGCATCAGTTTATCTTTCATGAAATTTGATTTACTTAATCTACCTTTATGGTTTGCACCCGTTTCCCTGCCTTGTGTGAATTTTGGTGTCACATAAAAATGCAACTTTGCTCTCACCATATGTGTATTATTTCAATTCCTGGTTGTGATAGAACCGTAAACTTTATATATTTGACTAATACTTCAGTTCATGAACTCCCACCTCGTATATATGTTAATTTACTATTGCAAACTCTGATTAGGTTTTTTTTTTCTTCTTCCGAGTACAAATCCTTTTATTGCATTATATACTAGATTTCAAAATCCACTAGTAATAGCTGTTTCTAATATTTGCATTGCAGTGCTACTAGAGGAGCACATCGCCCAATAATGAACCTTCACGAAAGAAGCTTAAGTGTTTTGGCTTGCCGCTATGTGGATGAGGTTATAATCGGTTCTCCATGGGAAATCTCAAAAGACATGGTGAGCTTGTCTTACATTTGGTCCTGAGTTTGCTTCATTATGCTTTTAGTCAGCCTTCATTCTTCTCCTGTATTCTTCTGGTTTCCTTATGGTTATTTCTTTTCGTCAAAAAATTTTCTTATTCGGGAAGTTGGGTATGATTTCTTTTTTTCTCCCCCAACATTTAATGTTACTTGAACTAGAATTTGGGTCTACCAGTAATCTCGTTTGAGTACTTTCCATATTTTTGTGAACTTCACGTGTTTATAACAGTGCTCACATTTATAATTATAAGATTCTTTGTGGAATGTTTTATTGCTGCAGCTCACAACCTTTAACATCTCCTTAGTGGTCCACGGAACAATAGCAGAGAATAGCAACTTTGAAAAGGTAAATTGCAAAACGAGGTCCTAACGCTAATGTATTTACTTCTGTAGCTTTAAATCTGGAGCCGCCAAGATGCATTGGTTATTTACACATTTTTATTTTGCAGGAAGAAGGCAATCCTTATCAAGTCCCAATCAGTTTGGGCATCTTCAAAGTTTTGGATAGCTCGCTTGATATCACCACTTCCACGATAATTAGACGGATTGTATCCAATCACGAAGCATACCAGGTTTCCCCCTATACCTGAACGTCCTTGCATTACTCTTGTTCAAATTTGGACGCATTATATAGAATGAAAGTTTCCAGCGTTATAAACATAAAGCATTCTTATGTTTAACTGTTGTTTTAGTTGGTATCGTTTTGAAATCTGCTTTAGCATGCTTCAAACGTATGGCTTATCACTATATCTTTTCCTGCAGAAACGTAACGATAAAAAGGCAGCAAGTGAGAAAAGGTATTACGAAGGCAAGGTTTATGTTTCCGGTGACTGATATACGTAGATCTCTGAGGCCAATACATGGCTAGCCGTTGGGTGCACCTGTTATTTTGGTACTCTTACCAAGTGGTACTAACTTCACAGATGACACAGCTGAGTTTTGGTACATTCACATGATGTTATTCACAGATCCTATTATCACATACGATTCCCGAGTCTTCTTGTCATGCAGCAATATTTTTGTTGTTTAGATCGATATTTTCGGATTCAATCCACAACCTCTAGAACTTGAGAAAAACTAGTTTGATTTTCCTTCTGTGCCATATCTTTCCCACAAAAGGAATAATCTTTAGACATGAACAAGTTACGAGGTAATCTCTCCGAGTTTGGTTTACTTCTTTTCGTTGTCGAAAACTTGTCCTGTATAGACATGTTTGGCATTGTTAGTAACATGTTGTGTGGCGCTGTAACAACCAGCTGTTCCATTACATGCCATGTGCATCCTGTATAAGTCGATCAACAAACAGTTATGTGTATGGCTATCCCTTGCCCTTGGGGATAAATGCACCGAAAAGTTTCGGCTTGGGCAAGATGGTAGTATATGCATCTTCTCTTGCATGTACATATCACTTGCCACTTACTTGCCGCTTACATGATGCGTAAAAGGATTTTGATCCAAAAAATTAAATAAATTAATGTTCCAATAGGGGAAAGAAAAGATTGAACTTATTTATTTCTTCCTAACGAAGTGAGCGATGATCTGAACTCTGTTAACTTGCGAAAATTGTGGTTTGAACAAACCGACCGGCCAACTATCATGGCCAACTGGCCTAATTCAGATTTGCAAACTCCTTGTTTACTTAAAAACAAGAAAATGGGGGTGATGGCTCCTCTACAAAATATAAGATCCAGTGGGGTACAAAAGTATCCTGTTTTACATGTGATTATTTTGGGAACTTTAACGAAAAGCTTCCGGTACTGTTCAATTTAAAGAGAAACCACATTTTTACATTAAAAAGTCAATCCTGGTACTATTCACTTTACCCTTTATTTTGTTCTTATTGTTAAAACTCAAAGTTTTCAAACCCTTTTCATTAGTTTTCCTGATTAGTTTTGTACATCACAAGGTAAATCAAGAACACAAGATCGGGGTAAATGTCTTCCCACAAATCCGATCCAAAACAATTACAAAACCCATAATTAATTCAAGATCAAATCCAGGTTGCACCACCAAGCTGAACACGTCGTTTTCAAGCAAGACTGAATTATTTACTCGTTTTCTGGACACAGTGGCCACAAGTTCTCCACTGCAATCTCTAATTTTGCAGTTTCTTCTCCCAAAACAACCTTTAACTATGAAATCTGGTGCACTATTCGAGCTCGTGGATCCTCCCATGAACACCTCAGCTGGTGCACTTTTATTTCTGCTGCCAAAAAGATTTGATCCACTTTTCATGGTGAACACTCTGCTGGATTTAGGGTTCTTTCCACATCCATCTTCTCCTCTATATGCATTCCATTGGTCTTGCAAGCTCAACATCTGTTCATTGCAAAAATGGATTTGGATAAGCTTTCATGTATCATATGATATACAGAGAAACGAGCGTATTATTCGGATCAACTGATTTAACTCACGTATGTTATCTCGTATAAGTTCAAATTATATTTATTCGTATTGGTTACTAAACATGCATAATGCAATGAAGAGGAGGATTTGATCACAAATAATTACCTGGGGTTTGAGGGTCAGCAAGGCTCTTCCAGCTCCATCCATGAGTCCAAGTCCTCCTCTAACGCAACAGTTCTTCCTCGAATAATTGTCTACTCGAAAAGTTAGAATTCCGCGATTGTCAAACACTGTAAATCCATCAGTTCCCTGGAAACTCATGCTGGATCTCTTCCACACGGTGAGCACAGACGGAGGCACATGAACATCTTCCACCTGATGATGAAACCTTTCTTTCAACGACGCGGCCGGATGTATCCTCGACATGGTTAGCTAGATAGAGAAAATCGAAAGGTGTCGGAGAACACAGAGAGAATGATAGAGAGGAATATGAGTAGTGACAAATGATTTAGCTTTGGTTTTGCTGCTTGAAACTTGAGAATAAAGCTATGTCCAAAGATATGTGTATATATAGAGGTAGGAGCATATATATATATATATATATATATTGGTATATACAGTGAAAGGACGTTGGTACGTGGAAACAAAGAGAGAGAGCTTTATGTTCTCTGTTGTCTAGCTAGCTAACTGGCTAACACTGACTTCTTATGTAGGTCCCCAACTTTTTCAACTCTGCAATATCTACTATGGAGCCTTGCTGTTTTCCTTCTTCTATTCTTTTTCATCATTTTTTATATACAACTTACAATTATTTATATACAATTTACAACTCTTTGACAGCATCAGTGACCAGCCTACCTACTTCACATATATTAACAGGTTGGTTGTACGTTGTAAATTTGTTTTTGTGTCACATAATCTGGTTCTTTATGTTATCGAGACCAATTTGAATTCTTCGTCCAGTAAAATTACATACAAATGTATAATCGTAATAGATGGTGAAATAACCTATCATGCCAAACTATGTGACGAATAATATAATTGTGTACTGCACCTTATCTTCATAAGTATAGACATCTTATAAAATGTTTTCAGGTTGGAATGTTCGATCTTTTGGTGGGCACATAAAGTGCATGGTCGAGGGTTAGGCCAAGTAATCATTTTATATCATTTGGCTTTGTGAATTCATTAGCAAACATCATCAATGTCATGTTTTCATGAAAACCTAAGAAATGCATCAATGGCACTAATGCCACAGACAAAGTGGGACTCTCGATCAATGACATTTTGGTTCATTAGCAAACATCATCAATGTCATGTTTTCATGAAAACCTAAGGAATGCATCAATGGCACTAATGCCACAGACAGAGTGGGACTCTCGATCAATGACATTTTGGTTATGGAGCCGAGTAATGTTTTTGATATACCTAGAACACTGTCCACGTTATGTTATAAGACATATTAATTGTGTTGTTCACTTTTATTATAATACGTAAAATAATACATCACATAACTTATGTTATCATCGGTGATCTTAAAAAAATTTCATGGCCAAACTGACGCATTTGCTTTACAAGTCATGATTACTATAAACGTCGATCGATCTGGCTAGGATTAATGGACTCCATGAAGTGATTTAATTCAACCAATGAGCAGCAATTAAGTAAGTACATTTGATGCTCATTAGTCAAAATTTCCTGCATTCATGTGAGTCCATTTGTCGGCATACTGAAACTTTGCACCAGATATTCCCACTTGTATATTTCAATTGGGGATATTATATAATTAAGTTAAGCTAAACATCCTATTTGGTATTTGCCATTCTACATGACCAATATTATTCTAAACCAAGAATATATTTTCGTCTGGTTTTAGTTGGAAAACAAGGGATTTCTTGTTGTCATGTTGTGTGTCGTGATTCATAATGGGTGACGTCATCCACACACTCTATTAATTTTTATTCTTTGATCTTCTTTAATTTATTCGATCTGACAACTAATTAGAGAGGGATATATGGATAACTCCACCCATTCATAATATGTTGTTAGCTGATTAATTGGCCATAAAAACTCTTTAAAAATAACTAATTGCCATGGGAAATAATCCATAAGAAATGTTTCCGATTAAGGGAATGTACATGTAACAGTAAGATTGGACTGACAGATGGATAAATAGTAAAAGGAAGAACATATACCATTAGTGCCAATTAATTAATATATCATCATTGGTTTAGAGATTCTTAATTAAGCAAGATTGAACTCTTCTATTTCTTCATAACGAAGCGAGCGATGTTCTAAACTATGGTTATTTACAAAAATTGCAATTTAAACAACGCGACGAAGACATTATCCTGATCAACTGCCCTGAATTTAGATTTGCAAACTCCTTGTTTAATTAAATACAAGAAAATTGGAGTGATGGCTCCTCTACAAAGTATAAGATTCAGTGGGGTAAAAAAGTATCCTGTGTTATATGGGATTATTTCTGTACATCACAAGGTAAATCAAGAACACAAAATCGGGGTAAATGTCTTCCCACAAATCCGATCCAAAACAATTACAAAACCCATAATTAATTCAAGATCAAATCCAGGTTGCACCTCCAAGCTGAACACGTCGTTTTCAAGCAAGACTGAATTATTTACTCGTTTTCTGGACACAGTGGCCACAAGTTCTCCACTGCAATCTCTGATTTTGCAGTTTCTTCTCCTAAAACAACCTTCAACTATGAAATCTGGTGCACTATTTGAGCTTGTGGGCCCTCCCATGAACACCTCAGCTGCTTCACTTTTATTTCTGCTGCCAAAAAGATTTGATCCACTTTTCATGGTGAAGACTCTGCTAGATTTAGGGTTCTTTCCACATCCATCTTCTCCTCTATATCCATTCCATTGATCTTGCAAGCTCAACATCTGTTCATTACAAAAATGGATTTGAATAAGCTTTCATGTTTCATATGATATGAGGAGAAACAAGCGTACTGCTCTAATCAACTGATTTAACTCACTTATGTTATAACTCATATAAGTTCGAATTATATTTATTCGTATTGGTTACTAAACATGCATACTACAATGAAGAGGAGGATTTGATCACAAATAATTACCTGGGGTTTGAGGGTTAGTAAGGCTCTTCCAGCTCCATCCATGAGGACAAGCCCTCCTCTAACGCAACAGTTCTTCCTTGAATAATTGTCTACTCGAAAAGTTAGAATTCCGCAATCGTCAAACACTGTAAATCCATCAGTTCCCTGGAAACTCATGCTTGATCTCTTCCACACAGTGAGCACAGACGGAGGCACATGAACATCTTCCACCTGATAATGAACCCCTTCTTTGAACGACGCGGCCGGATGTATCCTCGACATGGTTAGCTAGCTAGGGAGAAATGAAAGGGTTCGGAGAACACAGAGAGAATGATAGAGAGGAATATGAGTAGTGACAAATGGTTTAGCTTTGGTTTTGCTGTCTGAAACTTGAGAATAAAACTATGTCCAAAGATGTGTATATATAGAGGTAGGATATATATCAGACCCTTTATGCAAAGGGATTCCCACTTAAAAAAAAAAAATAGAAATTAGGTGTGGTGTACATTCCGCATCGAATTTTAACGATCCGAACAGTTTATTTTGTAAATCTTAATTCATAGATCATTTTTGCAAAAATTCAATTTAATCCAAAATTATTTGCCTATTTAATTATCAAAATAAAATTTCATTATTTCTTATATAATAAAGTTTTTGTTAATTTTTTTAACCCAATTAGATATCTTAAATATTTCTAATTTGGCTAATATTTTGCAATGATAATCTATGAGGTGTAACTTGAAAAATAGATGGTTTGAATCGTTAAAGTTCGATATGGTATGAACCCCACAACTAATTTATATTTAAAGGCTTCGTATATATATTAGTATATACTA